GGCATTAAGCCACGAAGGTGGGAAATTCCCTGAAGTCCATATTGTTTCAAAAATATTTACAAGAGTTTCCAAACATGATTCCGGTAAATGCTTCAAGAGCTGATAGTGTATATTATCAGCTCCTGTTGCTGTGTCATGAGCTTGCTCAAGTGAGTGAGTTAAACTTTAACGTCACATCGGCAATATTTCAGCCATATAGCTTGCTCAAGGGCAGTGTGGAGCTCATGTAATGAAAATAATTCATTATAGTCTTCGCCATTGTCCGAGTTAAAATTTATTCTCTTCTTCTCCTGTTGTTTCTGATATTGTTGAAATTCAGGGACGTAATTCGACGAAGAAGAGTGTTTGGCGAGCGTTTCACCAAGCTTATTGGCAATGTCAGCCTTACCAGTTAATATATTGTCACCATCCTTCAGATGGTGAACAGTAGATTTGGAACCTTAGCCCTTAATTCTTTCGATCATGTTCCACACCTTTGAAATCGGTGTTCGTGAATTTATTTTAGAAACATATTTCCTCCAAGACTGACGCTTATTCTGCTTAAATGTACGTCGAGCCTTGGCATTTAATATTTTTACTTTATTCAAATTATGGACAGTAGGATGTCGCCGAAAATATTTTTCAGCTTTCTTCCTGCTCTTTCTGGCCTGTTTACATTCATTATCAAACCATGGTTTACGAATATGTGGAACTGCAGAGGACTTGGGTATAGTTTGGTCAGCAATGTTATTGAGTAGATCAGAAAATAACTGTATCGGATCTTCGCTGTTCGCAAATACATCATGTTTTAAGTGATCAGCACATAATGTCTCATATAATGACCAATCAGCCCTGGCGAAGTTCCTTCTCGATAAAGGTGGATCATCCTCAGAGTTGACTGTTTTGAGGATGGTGGGGAAGTGATCACTCCCACATAGGTCATCATGGACCGCCCATTCAAATTCATTATACAAGCTGGAGTCGGCAATTGACAGATCCAGGGAAGAATATGTTCCCGTAGGATGTAGATAAGTGGGAGAATCATCGTTATATATACATAGGTGATTATCGGAAATAAATTCCACAAGGATTTTACCTTTAGTATTAGTATGGTCACTTCCCCAAAGCGGGTTGTGGCCGTTCAGATCGCCCATGATGAGACATGGCTTCGGAAGTTGATCAAACAGATTTTGAAGATCTGATTGTTGAATATTTGAAGAGGGAGGTATATACAAGCTGCACAATGTCAGAGCAATGTGCAGAGTGAGACGCACAGCAACAGTTTGAAGAGTCGTATTAAGAGGTAAAGGGCTGTGTATGACGCTCTGATGAACCAAAATAGAAGCGCCTCCAGATGCTCGATCTCCCGGAGGAGAAAAAGAATGATAATCACTATAGTGTCTGAGATTAAAGCTATCTGTAGTTTTAAGATATGTCTCTTGAAGACAGAATGCTGACGGATGGTGATCTTGTATGAGTAATTGTATCTCATTAAAGTTAGTTTTCAATCCTCTGCAATTCCACTGCAATAAAGTCGACAATTGAGTCATGGTGGCTCAATTGGCGACCGTTCACGTCAATGGGAGGAGGAAAAGCTCCTCTGCCTGTCCTGAGAGGACAGAGTGAATTCCATATCAAGAGGCCCAAATGAATTTTGGAGAGAAACCTCCGGAGGTGATGGGGCAGAATGTTGGTTTCTATTCAATTTTTTTCCTTTCTTTTTAACTAGATCAGCTGATTGGGAATTTGGTGGTTGTGAAGCAGACGGTTGTGAAGTCTCAGGATGAAGTTCAGTCTGAGACCCTGACGTAGATTGACTGACTGGGGAAGTAGACTTTGAAAAAGAAGTTTTTGTGGTTGAAGAGACAGGTTTTTCTGACTTGACCCATGTCAAGTCAGTTTGACAAGCAGTGGAGGACACCGCAACAGAGCGGGTGACTGCAGCAGAATAGGTGATATTTGATGGAAGTGATGACAGAATTGTGAAAAGGTTCTTGGCCTCAAGCTAAGACATATTCTTTTCACATTTAATTTTCATTATTTTTGATTCCCGGTGAAACACAGGGCAGGATCTGGATGAGGCTGGATGTAAACCAGCACAATTAGCACATTTGTAGTCCTTTTCGCAATCTGTAGTTTCATGGTGGTCACCACAACGATGACACACCACAGAATTACGACAAGAGTTGGACCCATGTCCGAAGCGTTGACACTTGTAACACCGGAGTGGACTGGGGATATACACATCCACCCCGATGTTAAAATAACCTGCTTTGATCGACTGTGGAAGGGATGCTCTAGCAAAGGTCAGGATATATGTATTTGTGTTTGTGGTTTTGCCATATTTTTAATAGAAAAACGTTTCACCGCCGTAACAGCCTGGTCTTCAAGTTCTGCAGCTATGTCCTCCTCTGACATGTCAGAGAGACAACGAGCCCTGTCTCGTACGATACCACGGCACGAATTGAGAGTCCTGTGCACGGACACAGCAACCTCAACATTAGCAAAAGTTTTGATGGACAAGAGATTAAGAGATTGCTGTCTCCGTGCGCACTCCACCAGAAGTGAACCACTACGAAGACGGGTAACATTTTTAACTTCCCCGCATATCCCATGGATAGCTTTAGAAACAGCAAATGGATTTAGTTTAATGGGTAGAAAGTCAGAAGCTTCCATCACTAAGAATCTAGGCCAGGAATCAACGTTTGACGAAATTGTTTCAGTTGGACGATCTAGTTCGTCCAGGCGTCTCTTTTTGTCATAGCGAGATGAACCAGCTTGTGGGGATGCCATAATGAAAGGAAAATAATTCAGCATCCCTGCTCCCCACCCACCATGGAGTGTCAACAAGGACGATGTCAAATAGCACCGGATCTCCAAGATGCCGACACCAGGGATACAGGGATGTTATACGCCAGCAAATATTCATAAAGACACATTCATAAAGACACATAAAGCAATATTTGTGTACCAAATCAAATGCCAGGGTGGTTCTGCCCATGACAAGTAACTGAACACATATTGAATGTGGAGGTCAACATTGCCAGATTGGCCCATGAGCCACCGCCTTCTGGCATATGACTCTAGGCAGTTTAAAGTAAGCAATAATTTACATACAATAGATCAAAATATCCAAGACCAATTTATAATTTAAATGTGCAAAAATATTCGCCATGCACAGGGCTTGGCGTGACCAGCCGATTGATTGAACCGGGCCAGTTCAACCACCCGCCTAGGTGAAGTCAGGGCCGAAGTGGTGTGTTGGGCAAAGGAACACTGTTCCTGGAACCAGTGCCCTCAACCACCAGACTACCGTCCTCCACCGACACAGGGGCGCAACCCACGGCAAACGGGTTGTTGGACCAAATATCCCCCCGGGTCAACAACGGGGGGTTGAAGGGCGCTTAGCGTGACCCAGCACCCACCACGAGAGGTGGCCCTTCATGGGTGCCTGAGGCGTCTGTATATATATGGGTGTGTGTAGGGTAGTTATTGTTGATATAGTTGTTTGTGATGTTTGTTATGGTGGGTTTGTTGGTGTTTTTTGGTAACTGCTGGAGAATGTTGTCTAGGGTGGTGTCTGTGGTGGGTGGGGGTGTGTCGTGTGTTTTGAAGAGTATGCCCACGTTTTTTTAAACATTAATGAGGAACCCCCACTGTTGGGCCCAATTTTGAATATGGTTAAGCATTTTTTGGCATTTTGTAGAAACTTGTTTGACAGAAGTGGATGAAGTCCAGAAAGAAATATCGTCTGCAAATTTGGCTTTTGAAATTTCAGGCCATTTATCTGGGAATATGTCGTTGGTGATAATATGCTGCCCTGGGGGGTCCCATGTTCTAGGGGATGGGGGTCCGAAAGGGTGTTGTGAGATTTGAGGATAATCTGTCTATTATTAAGGAAAGAGTGGATGAAATTTAGAATTCTTCCGTTATGGTGCGGTCCCAGTGCCGACCTCACGCTACTCGACCTTCTCGACCTGAAGGTCGAATTGGGGGTCGAGTTGGTCGAGTTTCAGAACGAGTTAGGTCGAGTCAGGTCGAGTCAGATCGAATCAGGTCTACCAAATTTTTGAAATTTTTTTGACATGTCAAAAATTTTCCCCGACTTCCTCCTCGACCTTCGGTCCGAGATGGGGACGAGACCAGGTCGAGAATAGGTCGAGGTAGGTCGAAAAAAGGTCGAGTTTAGGTCGACATTAGGTCGAGTTGGTCGAGTTGAAGGTCGAGCTGGCCTGACATGCCGATCTGTGTTCGTCTAAGAGTCGATCTGGACTCGGCCTCGACTCGACCTTGAGTCGACCAACTCGAACTGGATTCGACTTGGACTCAACCTGGAGTCAACCGAGTCGACCTGAAGTCAACCTATCTCGACCTCAGCACGACCTAATCGAGTCCACGCCGACCGCATAAATGGTTGCCATCTTCCCAGGCGCTTCATAAAAGTCAAGTGGCAACCAGTGGTAGCACATCATCTCCACACCAACCTGCTGCCACCCAGAGGTCCACCCTGAGCACACCACCCTCTCCAACACACCGCAGAGCAGCGAAACAGGCTGGTATCTTCCCCAGCTTTGACTCCAGTGCTGCAGCAGGTAGATCTCTGTACCTGCCAAGCGGTCTCTTGGACCCTACACACACCTCAGAGGACGTTCAGGACTCTCAGCAAGGACAGTGAAACTGAGAAGTAGAACTTGGTACTCATATTTGTAATGAGCACTTTATAATGATGTGAAATGTTACCTTCAGATTATTTAAATGAGTTTCCAATACAAGATTTAAAAGCTTTTTTATCTGATATTTTTTTGGTATTTTCCATCCATTGCTAAGTGTAAATGTAAATACATCTTGTACGATTGTAATAAAGTTTGTTTTCTTCATCATGTATATAGTTAGTTTTCATTGTGTGTTTTTTTCGCATTTACCAATTGTAAATAGTGTAAATATAAAACAAACAAGAGTTCCTTTGTAAATGAAGTAGTCCTAAATAATAGAGTACACTTTAAAGTCATTTGGATATCATCTTCTCTTGCCAATGAACAGCTCCTGGGCCCATGAAATAGTCCTTCAAATAGTTTCTTTGGTTGGTGCCATCTAGTGGGGTAACGTTCCTCGTACCCCGGTTATCCCCATCAAGCAGCTGTGTGTAGGAGCGCCACTTGCCTGGGTTGAGTGAACAGTCCCCATTCCCCGGTCTGTGAGGTTCATCTGACTGTTCCGGTTCCTCGTTCTCAGCATGTTGTGTAAAGTGACCCAGGCCTGCGATATCTGTTTAGGGAACCTCATAGCCAGAATCCCGAAGGTATTCTCCACCACTCGTCTGGCCCGAGACAGTCTACAAAAGTCACAAATTAAACATTTTTAAGTCAAATGCATTCAAAATTCAAAACCTTTGATATAATATTGCAGACACCCAAAGATACTAAGTTATAATTTGATTAAGGTATTTATGGAAAAGAATAATAACCTGCAGTTGAAGATCTGCTGATCGGGGTCCATCTGACGCATGAAAAAGGACTTCATCATCCAGGGGCGGAGTGGAAAGGCATCGTCTCCGATGATGAAGTATGGCACACCATACTGGGAATACGCGGTCATCACCGTCCATCCGATCTCGTGAATGGTCAGCGTCTGATGCTGATCCCTTGGGCCCAACGTTGACCCACGGGAACTTGTAGTCGGCATCCGCGAGTGCCAGCAAGACAATAGAGAAGAAGTTCTTGTAGTGGAAGAAGAGGGACCCGTTTTGGGGGGTCTTCTTGATGCGTATGTACTTGCCATCAAACGCACCAGTGCAATATGGAAATTGCCACCTTACCTTGAAAGCACAGGCTACAGTATTCCATCTACTCTGATCCCACTAATCTGACCAATACTCAGCTTTGAAGGCTTCAAGGATAGGATTGATGTGCTTACGGCTGAGGTTTTGGCTTTGGAGGAGGGTTGGCATTATCAAGGTCATCCACCAGTTCAAGCAGGTGCCAGGCTATCTGCACCCAAATGGTAAGCAGTCTTCGCTTCTCGGGGCTCACCAGGTTTACGTCAGGGTTCCTGATGGTGATGTTACTACTTTGCAGTCCTCTTATTGAATGGGTACCTGGTGAAAATGAACCCAGTAATTTATACAATTTGGAAACCAAGGGTCTACTCGGCAGAAAAATGGAATTTCCGTCGAGAACCAGTCGCTCCGGTTGAACACAGGTCGCGGTGAAGTCGGGCCGGTCCACTTAGGACGAAATTAATTCGAAATTAGATCGATATACAGGTCTAGCTGGTCGAGTATAGGTCTTCTCAACTTGGCCGACCTAAGTCGAGATAGGTCGACTGAAGTCGAACTAAAATCGAACTAAAGGTCCTTACGAGGTCGTTATGAGGTCGTTTTGAGGTCGAGATACCCCCCAGGTCGAGACCGGTCGAGTAGTTTGCGAGGTCGAGTCGGTCGAGCTCCTGAGGTCGCCACTGGGACGGCACCATTAATGGCATATTTTTGGAGTTTTTGTATGAGGCCGTTTTGCCAAACCATATCAAATGCTTTACTAAAGTCAATGAAAATGGCCATAGTGTATTGTTTTTGTGCATGGGCTACCGTGATGTCTTGTTCCAAATGTAAAATATGGTCTAAGTTTGCCTGTTTGGAGTAAAGCCGCTCTGGTCCTCCTTAATTAGATTTTCTGTATATATAAGGTGTTTGAGCCTGTTGTTAATAATGCTTTCTAAAGTTTTACATAGATGAGAGGTGAGGGAGATAGGATGATAAGAATCGGGCTCATTTCTAGGTTTCCCTGGACTGGCACCACCTTGGCTGTTTTCCACGTATTTGGGATAGTACCTGAGGTCCAGATATGATTAAAGAGGGTAAGTGTTAGGTTTTGCATGTTAGGTGTTAATTTGTTGAGTATAGTGTATGTAATGGTATCTGGACCCGGGGCTTAGGCTGTCTGTTTGTTTCTGAGTGCAGATTGGAGTTCGTGTATATTTATTATTTTCTTTATAGGTAGATCTGTGTGTGGTGGTTGTGGGGTGTATTGGGGTTGCTTTTTCATGGTGTTTTGAAAAGAAGGTGGGTAGTTGGTGGAGCTACTGACGGCCGAGAGGTGGGCAGCAAATGCATTAGCTCTGTCTTTATTTGTGGCTAGGTCCGGAAGGTTTGGATAAATAGTTTTTTTTTAAATGCCCTTTATGGCTTTAAATTTTTTCCACATGGTTCTAGAGTTTCGATTTGTTAGCTTAAGGGTGGAAGAGAATTGTTTCCAATGGTCACTTTTTGCTGCCTCGATTAATTTCTTAGTTTTATTTCTTAGTTGTTTTGCCAAATGTAATTTCGAACGGTCCCTCTTGGATTGATTTAGGGCCTTTTTTCTTGCCTTTCTGGCTTTGATGATTTCTCTGCTCCACCAGGCGACGGTTTTTTGTGCAGGGTTATATCGAAAAGTTGGAATGCATTTTTCTGAGATGTCTAGTATGGTATTAGTGAGGTTTGTGTTGAAAGTGTTTATGTCTGTGTTGAAAATGGCTGTGGTGTCTATTTGTTTACAAAGTGTTGTGAATTTGTTCCAATTTGCTTTTTGAATGTTTAATCTTAGTTCTGTGGGTGGTTGTGATGAGGTGGTAGTGGGTGTGGTGTGGGTGTGTGTGTGTGTGATGTGATTGTGATTTTGATGGGACAGTGGTCACTGCCCCAGGTGTCATCGTGGACCTCCCATATACAAGCCTGTGTAATTTTGGGTGTGGTGAGAGTGATGTCGATGGCTGTGGGTGAGTGTAGATGGGAGAGGGGGTAGCGGGTGAGTTGATTGTCGTTTAGTGAGTTAAGGTTGTGTATGCTAAGCCAGTCAAGGCGAATGCCAAATCTTGGGTGGTAATTTTGAAATTTGGTCTTCTATAGACATTAATGATGGTTAAGTCTTTATTATTCATTTTAGTTGATATTGCCAGGACTTCGAGATCTTGTACAGGAATTTGCAATATGTTATAGTTTAGTTCCTCTGCAATGAAAATCCCCAGTTCCCCTGCAGGGGTGCCGGGATAGTTAGTTGGCCGTGGTCTGTCTTTACGAATAAAATTGTAGCCTGGTAATTTGAAGGCATTTTTGGGGGATAATTTTGTTTCTTGCAGAGCTATGATGTCGGGTGAAATTTTGTTATGGGCAATGAGTGCCTTGAGCTCATGCCCATGAGCTCTTAGACTGTTGCAGTGCCACTGTATAAGTGCCATGGTTACTGCAATTAGGAATAGGGGTTTAATAAATGCCATGGCGTGGGGCATGAATTTTGAAGAATGGAGATTTGGTGCTAGAGTAGCTTAGAGGTTTGCTGTTTAAAAGGGTTTTTTGAGGGCGATGAGTAGACTGGCCAAGCTTTTGTGATAGAGTTTGGATTTATGTGCAAGGGTGTATAGTTTTTTGACTGTTGGTTTTTTCCATTGTTGTGGTTGAGATGATGAGTTCTACTATTTTGTTAAGGTTTGGTTTAATTTTGTAGGGGTGTGAGGGTTTGTGGGCAGGTGCTGGGTGTTTTTTAGGTGGGAGGGCTAGAGTTTTAATTGTGGGTAGGGGGGTTGGTGGTTTGTGTTGGGAGGTGTTGGAGGATGGGGTGGGGTTTACGGGTTTGGAGGGGTGTGTGTGCAGTTTTGGGACGTGTTTGTGTAGGTGGGACAGTTGGGATGGGTGTGGGGAGGAGGGTTTGTTTGAGCCCGATACGTTGCAAAACTTCATATTTATATAGTATTGATGGCTTGCCCAACCGTTTAGCAACAATCATGTGTAAGCCCGGGGCTTTCTTTTTATTATGGTAGCTACGCCCCTGGCTGATTACAAGTCGGTTGAATCAAATAGTGAGTGAGTGAGTTATTATTTAACGTCACATCGGCAATATTGCAGCCATATCGTGACGAAAACATATTTGACATTGAAATGGAACATATGTATATTATAAAACCTGTCGACAAAGGACAGTAAAACAACTAGAACATCACAATAAGAGTGAGTGAGTGAGTTAATATTTAACGTCACATCGGCAATATTTCAGCCATATCGTGACGAGAACATTTTACATTGTAATGGAATATGTATATATTATAAAACCTGTCATCGAAGGACAGTAAAGCAACTAGAGTATCACAGATATATATATGTAAAACTAGTAATTGAATCTAAAACATTTTAACCATAGGGGACAACACAATCTAAAAATGGGCTATAGATCGCTAACAACTGAATGTAGATCACCATACTAGGGACCATGGGGACTTACAGTACATTTGCTTTCATGCATGGGCCATCACAATAAGAATTAAAACTAGCGTGGAAAGTTAAAACTAAAAGCAATACAATATAAAAACAGGCTATAGATTGCCAACAATAGAAGGTAGATCACCATACTATGGACCATGGACTTACAGTACCTTTGCTACCTGCATGGACCCTAGCTGGATTTACACAATCCCTTCAGCTGCTGGCGATTGTAAGAAATGTTAGCTAAACAAGAATAACAAGAATACTTATAAATCCTGGTAAGTTTAAATTGACTTTGAAAAAGGTCGGAGCTTACTTACCCTCTCAGCCACTAACAAACTGAGTTGTTAAATATTTTAGGATTGGAAGTTTAAATTATCTATTTACAAATCAGTTAACAAATCTAATTCTTTTAAAAATGCAATAATTGAATGAGAACTTATTCAATCAGATTATAGTAATGAGATAATTGAACACCTCTTTCGACCTTGACATAACAGCCTCCGGTAGAATGTATATGTAGTTACGCCCTTGTTGAAGGGTATGTCCCGTGACAGGTGTAAAATAAACAGATGGGCTGTTATATCATGGGCATAGATACCACCTTCTCCGCGTCCTCCAGCCTTAACAACATTCTCCATGCCAATGAAAGAACACCCGCCACCATAAAGAACAACAACCCAAAATGTGTCATCTACAAAATAAACTCTGATTGTGGGCAGAGCTACATAGGCGAAACGTCCCGACCCATCAACACCCGAGTGAAAGAACATCAGACCTCTGTTACCAATTCCGACAGCAAATCAGCCATATCCGACCACATCAAAGCAAGCCCCATTCATCAAATAGAGTGGTCTGACATCACCATTCTCTCTAACAAACAAATTGACTTCACTAAACGCAAGCTCACCGAAGCCATCCACATCAAACGCCAAAAGCCCACCATCAACCGAGACCAAGGATACTTCATTCCATCCGCTTATGATGCACTCATCCACCAAGCCCAATCTACTGTGTAAACTCTGCTGTATAAACATCTCATTATTATTTGTACATCATTGGCTTCCACGCCTGTCCTCTGTCTACTCTCTGGCTTCATCAGCTTTCTGCCTAGCCAATTATGTTAATTTTGTTGTTTTCTTTGTTACATTGTTACATCCAGTATATATACACTTCCCCCTTCTTCATGTTCCATTATGCTTGACAACGGTACAAGAATCTGTATCGAAGCGTTGCACTCACGAATAAAAAGAAGTTGTTATCCATAAAGTGTGTTCTATATTGTACTTCCCAACGCCATACAAAGACGTTATATCATTGGACAACTTACTTTATGGAGTCACGCCCCATCTGTAATCTTATTAACCTCGTTTGCATTCAGTATAAATATAGGCATGCCCATCTTCATAAATCTTGGGGGGTCAACTGCAAATGTTTACACTATAATAATTCA